TGACAAATAAATAAATTATCATATTCTAATCCTTCTATACATCAAACACAAAATAAAATGATATTATTTAATCTAATCCTATTCATAATATTATCTTATCATATTTTATCATAATCTTATGTATCATGCATAATATAAAAGGATTGTATTAGGAATTTTTGAGATATTTTTGAATTTTTTGGGTTGACCAAAAGATGGGAAAATATGAGTTTTCTGATGACCATTTAAATTTTTCGACTAACGAAAACTGGAAAGATAGTTAGAATCTGGAAATAATTTAAATTGTTCAGCGCCAATTAAAGTTTTTGGTGACAACACAGCAACTGACTGAAAATTGGGAATGCACGGGAGTCGATGAAGGGAAAAATTTTTTAGAGAAAAAGGCTCTGAAGGTAGAGAGAGGGAAAAGGAAAATAATAAAAAAAGATTTTGGCCTTTTATAAGCCCACCTAAATGACGTCGTTTGGGAACTTGGATCCATGCCTGACCAGCTCTAAGATCTATGCATGGACTCTCACCTAACCCAACCTGGTGGTGAGTTTTCCATTTTTTTTCTTTTTTGATTTTATTTTCATTTTTTGATTTGATTTTATTTATTTTATGTTATTATTTATTTATTTACTTAGTTTTTCCATTTTTTGGATAAGTAAATAAATAATGGTAAAAATATAAAATTAAAATAAAATGTAGATTTATTAAAATAAAAATGAATAAAATCTTAAAAGTATAATTATAAACAATTTGAATTAAGTTTTTTTTGCAAGAAATTATTTTTGTTACATAATAATAATAATAATAATAATAATAATAATAATAATAATAATAATAATAATAATAATAATTGATTATTTGAATAAATATTCTAAAAATGTAATTTTTAAAGAAAATTGAAATAGTTCAATTTTCTTAATGCAAGTAAAAAAATATTTTTAGATTTCACCAGTGAGTCAAAATAATCTAAAAATTATTTTTCACTAAATAAATATATATTTAAATAATAATTAAAAAATAAAAATAAAAATAAAAGCATTTCTTTAAATAAATCTCTTAATTATTACTAAAAATATATTTGTGGATTTCACTAAAAAGTTGGCATAATTAAAAAAATTAAATTATTTTTACTAAATAAAGATTTATTTAAATAATAAAAAAGATGAAAATAATAAATAGTAAATAATAATAAAAAGTAAAAAATAGTTACAATAAAAATTAATTAATTGTTCAATTAAATCTCTTAATTATCATCAACAAAACATGATTTTATTTAAGATCTAGTTAAAAAGTTGGGATGATCCTAAAATCTATTTAAAATTTTTAGGATTTCATCGAAGAGTCGAGATAATTCTAAAATCAATTTAATAAAATTTTAAAACTTTGCCAAAGAATCGAGATAATCCTAAAATTAGCTTAAATAAATAAATAAAATATCCTATAATGAAATTTTGACAATTTTGTAAATAGTCAATTTTTTTTCAAAATTCTTCTAAATAAAGATTTTCTATAAATTCAGCTAAAGTGTTGGGGAATTTATATAATGTAAAAAATAATGATAATTTCTCAAAATAAAAAATATTTTGCATAAAAGTTTTTTTAAAGGAATTAACTTTAAATATTTTAAAAGATCATATCATTAAAATTAAAGGATAATATATGTCTAATTGGTATTATTTTTTGAATAGACGACGTGAGAGTGTTGATACTCTCTTCACTCGTAATTGTACTTTTGGATCCAATATTGATTTCACAAACCAAAATATCTTTTAGTAAATCTTAATTAATTTTAAGTTTTTTATTAAAAGATTATGTTTTTAGGTGGCCAATCACACCCTACAAAAAAAAAAAGATTGGTGATGATTTTGAAAATTTTCATCAAGTCTAGCGATCGAGTTCCCTTGACAAAAAATCATTATAACAACTTTGCGACTTTATTGGAAACGCAAGAGAATCAAGCTAAAAATTAAACATGTGTAATCCAAACTTTGATTTTATGGTTTTTTTTATATTTAATTTTAACTTCTTATTTCATCTTAGAATAAAAATAAGATTAAAATAAAAAAAGAAGGCAAAAATATTTGATGGTTTCATTTTGTTTTCTTATGTTATTTTACTTGTTTTATATTGTTGCTAATTATATTGTTGATTTTATTAATAATTGCTACGTTCCCTCACATGTGCATATTTGCGTTCATGCATAAGCTTTATACTCAAGTTTTCAAATCTATCTTTTTTTAAGAGGTAGTAGAGTATCTATGCTTTCGTGAGGTTATAATGCCTCCACTCGGGCTAATGAAATACTTCCACTCAAGTTGAACCATTTTCATCAACAACCCATTATGGGTGAGGATCCGGGACCTTACTAGTCCAAAGTGAACGATAGTGAAGATCAATTTGGAAACTTTTTTAGCCTTTATTAAATACCAAACCCTGTAGATAGTGAACCTTGAGAAGCTAATCTTAGGTAGAACCATACCATTTTCGTAGATTATACCCTAAATTAGGACACAAAAAAGAATATTTATTTTAATACAATTACTAACCCTAATTTATTTTGCTTTCCTTTTGTTTCATGATTACGCATCATCATAAACACTTGCATATGGGATGTACTTGTCATTTTGTCAATATTAGTCAGAAGATTTTTTATCTTACTTTGGAAACACCATCATGATATTCTTAGCTACAAAGCCTATCATGTATGAAGAGGTTAATGTGATGATAACTTTATCATTAGAAACCTAAAGCAAAATGAAAAACTGTTTGAAAGAATCTAAAAAGGAAAGTTTGCCTAAAAAAATTAAACTAGGACTTCAACAAAATGATATCTCTAAGTTGGTCGAGATCCAATACCGTGTAACAACTCTTAGGAAAATGAATTTTGAAGAAAAATATGATCATATTACTTTACTCATTGAGGTGTTTATGAAAAATCAACTAATAAAGGCTTTAATTTAGTTTTGGAACCTTGTTTATAGATGTTTCATGTTTAATGAGATAAATATGACCCCTACAATTGAAAACTATAC